AGGCTGTTAATAGAAGAACGAAGTATGACTCTAAACCTTAGACTCAAAGTCCCCTAATCATTTGTTTCTTGCCTCTGTTATAAAACTCATTACTTTGTATTATCATTTTCTTAATATAGTTCCCACACAAATATAGTAATTTAACACAGTATTTGATACCACAGCTAGATATATTACGGACTCGGCATTGTCTGCTGAAGGAATGCATTAAATGCAGATGAAACAGGAGCTGCACTTAAGTAAAATGGAAAGGCACTTTTAAAAATGTCTAAACATTTTAAACATAATAAATATTCTGAAATCAGAAAAATACAGTCATAGAAGCTCATAGTAAGTAAATTGGGTTATTCAAGAAGAAGACCCAGAAGATAATAATGTGATGGGGGGCTGGGCATGCTGACTCACGCCTATAATCCCAGCACTTTGGGAGGGCGAGACAGGTGGATTACCCTGTGGTCAGGAGTTCAAGACTAGCCTGACCAACATGGTGAAACCTCATCTCTACTAAAAACACAAAAATTAGCCAGGCCTGGTGGGTGGCACCGTTACTTGGGAGCCTGAGGCAGGAGAATCACTTGAACTCACTGCACTACAGCCTGGGCAACAAGAGCAAAACTTTGTCTCAAAAAAATAAAAATAGTTTGATGGGTTGTTGAGGTCATAAAAATCTGTGAAAAGAATAGAAGAAAACAGATGGAATGATCAGGTCGTAATGGTGATTTGATTAGCCTGTTCTTCATAGGGCTGGAAAAGCCTCAGACTGTGGTGCAGATTGGATTGTCTTCCAACTCACTTATTTGTACAAAATGTTCTTTCTTGAAGGGAAATCTAAACAGCATATCTCATATTGTAATGCAAGATATCACAATATTGTGTGGATATCAATTATACAGTACCATAGTATATTCTATAAAAATATGCTTTGACGTTATACTAAGTATCAAAATTTCTGAAAGTTGTTAATTGCTGTAGTTATTAATAATCTACTGTAACTCTTCCTACCACAGTAATAAACAGCTAATGATAAAAAATTTAAACATGTTTTAGGTTATTTTCTTTTAATGAATCTTTTCTCTTTCTGGAGTTTATATGTCACCTCAATAATATTTTCACATGCTTTTTCTGTAGTGTACGTACCAAATAAGAATCCTGGGAGTTACAGAGAATTAAAACTCCAACTTATAACCTGGTTCAGCAGGACATCAGAGGACCAGTAGAATAATTACAGTTTTACAGCTGAGAAACAGTGGCATCTAACTATCAGCACATTACAAGAAAAATGAATACAATTGATTGTCACTTAATTTTATTTTAATTTTTCTATCAACACAACCTTTTCCTTTTCAGTTATTATCTGAAATCATAGAAATGGAAGTCTCTATTGTTTTTATAAACTCAAGACACTGTGCTACAAATTTTTAAATCTACCAAAATAAGGTCAACAGACTAACCAGATCATAGGGGTTTTGATTATTCTTATAGATCAGTCAATCGTTGAAATCAAACTATAAGTCAGTCAATAATTAATCACTGAATATACTCTAAAATAGATAACTCTGCCTATGTTCTCAGTTTACACTAAAGTGAGTGTATAATTGATCCATCGATAACTCAGATTTTAAAAGAAACATTAAATAAACAAAAAATATATGTTGATATTTTTGGATTCTCCCTACCTCAAGGGATATATCATATTAAAAACCTGCCTTTATATATAATACTCAGCAAGTCTCAGTCTTCTGAAATCATCTAGGAGGGGAAAATCATCTGCTCACCTGCAAATAGTCCAAAGTCTTCTTTCATTTACTCAACAAATCTTTATGGAACTTCTAACATATGCTGGCTATCATGGAAGGTGCTGTACATGTAATGTTGAATAAAAATAAGCATTATTCGTGGCCCCTTGGAGCTTTCTATATTTTGGTGTAATATACACTTTTTAAATAATCACATTAATGCATATTTGCAAAAATAACAAATAGAGATGTGGCAGACACACAAAACAAAAGGCATCTCTACTATGAGGAATTAAAATATTTATTAATGTAGGAAACATATATTTATTGAGCCTCTCTCTGTGTGACACTATGTTAATCATTAGGAATCAGCAGTTAACAAAACATATAAATTTTCTGCCCTTGTAGAGCTATTGCACCAGTAGTGGAAAACCAATAAATAAATAAGAAAATACATATGTTATAAATATTGGTGACTGTTCTAAAGAAAAATAAAACAGAGTAGGACAAGTGATGAGTCACAGTTCTTAGATAATTTTCTTAAGAAAAGTAGGCATATGTTCATTGGCATCCCCAAATTTGCTCTTATATGTCAGGCCCTTAAATCCCTAAAAGCAGTTGTATTTCATCTGAATCTGCTAATGCATTCTTTGGTATATCCTTCGAATAGTGGACATGGCTCCATTCATTTTTTGCTTTACATTAACATAATTTTGAATAGTCTGTTTGGTTTCAGCATTTTTGCATACTTTTGGCACAATTTCTATTTATATTTTGACACCTGGTGTAAATAATTATTTGAAGTCCCTTCACTCTCTAACAAGTTTACTGTGATAGGATAAAGGCAAAGATGATGACAAATAAAATATATAAATAAATACACATATAAAACTTCAAAATTCAGTAGCTAAGGAAAATAGAAGTTATTTTATTTTCATGTAACAATATCTGATGAGTAGATAATCTCTGGTCAGGATAGTAGGTTGTTATGCCACTGACAAGAACTGGCTGTCAACATTGATCAGCCTCATTTATACCTACCGTGAGCACCAGGCAAGGTGAAGGTGTGGGAATCCAGGACAATTATACTGTAAAAGATAAAACAGATTTCATCTCTCATATTGCACCAATAGAAACCTCATGGCCATTTATCACCTTATATTCCTATTAGCAAAGGGAAATGGATTTGGTTGAACAAACTAATCTTCACCATAGTGAGAAATTCAGTATTAATTTTCCCATATTCAAATAGATGGAACGGATATAAAATTTGAGATTGCCAAACCCAAGTATTGATCTGATCACTCTGAGAGGTGTATACACTGTATAGTTATGAAAAGTATTATAGAATTAACATAAACTATTGTGATTGTATATAGAAGCTGAGGGAGTTCAGAGAGTAACCTAAAGCTGTATGAATTAGCAGGTTAAAATTATGAGGGTCATTCTATAGATGCCAGAATCCTAGTCCATTGGTTCTCACACATTCTGGGTGCAAGATCTTTATGTATGCTTCAATATTATTGAGGATCCTCAATAGCCTTTGTTTATTTGGTTATATCTACTGAGACGTACCTTGTAATGTAAAATTGAAAATTTAAAAATACATTAAATTTTAGGTAGGAATAATAGACTCACTTTTTGTTATCACATTTTCTGAAAAAATCCTATTTTTCCCAAAATGAAACTAAGTGAGAGAAGTGGCATCGTTTTATTTTATTTTATTATCATTTTTTTGAGACAGAGTTTCGCTGTCACCTGGCTGAAGTGCAGTGGCACAATCTGGGCTCACTGCAATCTCTGCCTCCAATCATTCAAACGATTCCTCGGCTTCAGCCTCCTGAGTAGCTGGGATCACAAGCATGCACCAGCACAACAGGTTATTTTTTTTCATATTTTTAGTAGAGATGGGGTTTCACCATGTTGGCCAGGCTGGCTTTAAACTCCTGCCCTAAAGTGATCAGTCTGCCTCAAACTCTCAAAGTGCTGGGACTATAGGCGTGAGTCACCGCTCCCGGCTGGCTTTATTTTTCATTTTTACAAGTTTATTTGTTCTGACTTAGAATATAGTTAGTTGCATTCCCATATCTTCTGCCTGCATTTCATTCCTTAGAATAGCATATGTCATGCTGCCTCTGGCAAACTCCGGTGCACACTTGTGAGATATTGCAATTGAAAGGTAAATCCTATGTTTATATTACTATGAAAAAAGTTTGATCTACTGGACTCATTGAAGTGTCTCATCCTCCTCACTGAAAAGTCCTTGGACCACACATTAAGAAACACTGTCTTAACCTATAGCTATTACTGTATTAACTTACTGCTACTTGACTAGGAAGACTAAGTAACCATGTTTCTTTCTTTCGTTCTTATATTTCTATACCCCATTGAAAATAATACACCTTCTCTGTTGAAGATCCAGATGAATACTTTATAAAAATATGAATTCAATAGTGTCACTTTTCATCTTTGATCCTTTTGGTGATCTCTCATTTCTATTATGACACAGACCAAAATCGCTACTTGAATCTGTCTCATAAGCCAGAAACTGTTCAATAATTATCCTCCAGATTTATGGCACCTTAATAATTTAAAACATATATGACCTTTTCTTTGACAGGCCTTTAACAGGTAATTAAAAGTGCTTATAGAGATTCTGTATATATTTCTCAATTTTAATATTGGTACTTCTCAAATTTACCCCTACAACACTCAAGGCACGAAAATATTTATTTCTAATTTAATATAAACGACTTAGTGTTGACTTTTCCTGCAAGCTTAACCTGCATAAGTAAAAAATGGAACACTATTATGATTAAAACAATTTTAATACGCTCTCACCATATAATACCAGGTAATTATGAGATACAGTGTTTGACACTGATGCGAGTTACTGGTCACTATTGCAGATTGAGTAGTATTCCTCAACCACAAAATAAAAACTGCAATATGCAAAGCTCTGGTAATGTTAAAACTATTGCTATAAGGAAATGTATTGAAAGATTAGATGAAAATATATACACCCTTAAAAAAATGAAAATGATGGTCATGGCTGAAAGTCAAGTAATACACTCAAAGGTAAACAATTAAAGGCAACAAATTACTATCTATTTAATATCATTGCTAAGAGAGCCATCAACTTCAGCTTAAAAAGGTCAAGTTGGGAAACCCATAAACCAGGAGTGTTTGAGTATGTCCTCCAGATTCTCTTTGAAGAATATACTAATGTAGTATGCATCAAAATATCCAAATTTGAAAACGATAATGCCGCATCAAGAAACAAGGAATGAAAATATTGTTCATATGTTTGGCCACAAAAATTGCCTGAAAGAAAAAGGAGTATGTGTCCTAAGCTGTGATTCCATAAGGCTAATTGTACTGGCATTCTTGAAAGAATGGTATGGCAATGTTTTTATATAATTTTGTTAAACATATAAATTTTGTTTTATATTTTTATCTCAAATTGAATGTTGTTTTATGAAACTTTAAAGCATTATCATAAGAAGTATTTCCTGCTGAACAAATTAGAAATATTCTTTATAAAAAAATCTAGAATATAAACAAGATTTAAATCTAATTACTTGAAATCTTTAGTCATGCAACATAAGCTTATTGAACTCCTATATATAATGCCAGCAGTGTGACATGCTCTATAGATACTAAACTAAATGTACCAGTTTTTCTTAGACGTATTATGGTGCAGTTATACAAGAAATGCACATTTTGTTATTGTTGTAATTATCATAATTAATTAGTTCCATATACTGACAATGTTCTTATATTTTATTAATTAAATTGAAATACATTCATTGCATCTTTGAAATACAGATCAATAAAAATAAAATATTATTACATTGTTTTTCATATAAACACTCTTCCTGAAATAATCCAAGTGCCTTTCCACAAGTATCGGTGATTCTACAATTCGATATTGTGCTACTTAAACCTTTGAATTAAATAATGTGAAATATCTATAAACAATATAAAATACATTATCAAAACTAGTAAATTATCCATTTTGATGTCTGTAGCATCTTTAATGATGTCCCCTCTATTATTCCTGATGCTGAAAATTTGCTTTTTTAATCAGTCAGGTAAGAACATTATTAATGTTATTTATAGTCTCAGAGTATCAACTTCTGGTTTCATTGATTTTTCTATATTGCTGTTTTCTGTTTTTTTATTCTTTTATTTTGCTTGCTTTAAGCTAATTCACTTTTTTAAAAATTTCTTAAGATAGAATCTTAAATTGTTGAATTTAAGGCCCTACTTTTTTTTCTAACATAAAAGTAGAAAGCTATAAAGTTTTCTTTTAGTGCTGGTTTAGTTGCAGCACATATATTTGGATATCCAAGGTTGATTTATTTCACTCAGTTTAAAATACAGTACTTTTCAGTTTCACTTTTGATGTTTTAAATTTATTTAACAGACAGAAATATGCAGTTTTTTTCTCGTTGATTGAGATTTGGTAGTTCGTAGCTTTTAAGGAAATTGTCCATTTTATGTATGCTATCAAATGTTCTATCCTGTCTTAATTATTATCACTATAAAGCAAATTACTTTTAAACTTAGCAATTAAAAAACAACAAACATTATCTCATGGAATTTCTGAGGATCAGGAACCCAGGAGCAGCTTAAGTGGGTATTTGTGGCTCAGGGTCTTTCATGAGACTATAATCAAGCTGTCAGATAAAGCTGCAATCATCTCAAAGCTCGAATGGGGCTGACGAAGCTCCTTCCAAGCTTGTTCAGAGGATCGTTAGCAGATCTCAATTTCTTTTGACTGTTGTTCGAAATCCTCTGTCTATCCCTTTGTGGGCCTTTCCAGAGGCTGCCTACCTTTCCTCAAGACCTGGTTATTAGCCTATCCTGAAAGAGAGAGAGCAAGATCTCAAAAGACATAATCTGCAGTTTTTCCAAATCCAATCTTAGATGTGATATCCCATTGCTTCTGCCATACAGAAGGCTATTGTACACCCAGATCAACCATGGGTTACAATATGCGTCTTTAACGTATTACATGCTTAGTATTAATATTGTTCCATTTTATGTAAACTGTCAGAAAAGATAAGTCTTCCTTCAGCCTGAAGACCTCATTTGAACATTTTTTTTTGCATTCAGATTTACTAGGGATACATTTATTTTTGAATTATTAGGAAATATATTTTTTTACTTGCTCTTTAAAGAATAATCTTGTTAGGTATTGATTTCTAGATTGGCAGCGATTTTGTTGTTATTGATTGTTAGATTTTCTTTCAGCATTTTATAAGCCTTATTTGTCTTCTGGCTTCCATTGTTTTTGAGGAGTTATCATTTGTATCAATGTTCTCTATGTATTGTGACTTTTTCTTCTGGCTACTTTTAAGCTTTTCTCTTTACTCTTGGTTTACAAGGTAAACTATAATATGTGTTTTGTCATTGTTATCCTTTTTAGATTTCATTGACTATGAAAATGCATTAATGTTTTCTACCAATATGGAAATTTTCCGTCATCATTTTTTTTCAAATCTTAGACTAGGTCATCCTTCATTGACCTGTTTTCCTTCAACTTCTTCAACTTGCATTTTGCTATGAAATCTATCCCATAAATACTCAATTTCAGTTATATACCGCTTGCTTCTTGAATTTCTTTTGTTTCTAACTTATTTATATTTGCTTTATTGTTTTCTGAAATTCCTTATCTGTTCACTCGTGCTATCTTTCCTTAAGAATTTAAAACATGTTTAAAATATGTATTTTAAATTCTTTAAACATTAATTTCAATATCTAAGTTCCCATAGAGGCTGTATCAATTCAACTAAAAGAATTATTTTTATGTCATATTTTTCTGCTTCTTCACATGACATAAATTTTTTTCATGATGTACATTTTTAAAGTACTTTATTGAGATATGACTGACATATAAAAATTGTACACATTTAACATTTACAATTTGATGAGTTTGGAGATAAGTCTATACACCCGAAATCTGCACATTTGCATGATACATTGAATAGCTTTTTACTCACATTTAATAATGTCGAATTTCCTTCTGGCAGGCAGCTTAATTAATAGCAGATCTTCTTGATCATTTTAGGTTTATTATTTGTTAGAGCTGATGTATTTCTTTTATTTTCCCTTAGACTTAGAGCATATTACTTACTATAGAGCGAAGTTCTGAGGACTTAGCCTTTCTGAAGTGTCAACTAAGCGACTGAGTTCTTTGGTGAAGTATGCCTACCATGATTGAGCCAGAATCCCAGCATTTCCCAGTTCTGTTTACTGTGTGGTATCTCTGGTCTGCTCTCAGTGCTGCAGCAGCTACTCTGCTGACCTTTATGAAAATTCACCTTGCATATGCCAGATCAATCATGGATCAGGGCCGTGCAGACTTCTGAGTCCTCATTTTTGCTTTTTTCTCTTTTCTGCCTCATCAGTTCAAGCTACATAAGCAGCACAGAATTCTGATTTCTGCCTTTCCTACTAAGCGAAAGCACTTTGTTTTGCTTGCACTCCACTTTCCCCTAGAGTGTGACCCCAGGCAGAAAACCAGGAAAAGTGTGAGTCTCAGGTTACCCTTTTCCCTTCTGTCAAGAATGACAGTCCTTCACTGGCTGTTGTTTAATACTCGAAAAGAGTGTTTCCTATATATTGTGTATTGTTTTACAATTGTCTATGGTTAAGGGATAGACCAATGTAAGTTATTTTACCATGATCTAAATTGTGCTCTTTGTATTACTTGTTGAATGAATAAATTCATGAAAATATAGGGTTTGTAAATAAATATAATAAAATTTTAATACATATTATTGATTGAACATATCATTCATAGCTAAGTATAATCTATTGCTTAAATAATTGTACAAAGGCTCTGAAACCATTAATCGAGTGGACTTATGGTACATGATTTGGCCACTTTCCCTATTTTTCCTACAGAGTCTTCCTTTCCCAAAAGGTTCACATAGTCAAATGTGTCAATAATTTATTGTAATTTGGTAGCTATGTAACAACTTCCAATCAAAAATTATTATCTCCAAACCTTAATTCTGTTTAGAAAACCCACTAAAAGATACATGTTGCTTTATAATAAGTATATTGAAAATTAGCAATAGCAATTATACTTACCATTCATTTTAAACATTTCAAGATCCCATTAAGTAAACAGTATGAAAATAGTTTAATTTTGCATTCTATTAAAAACACATTTACAGTTTAACATAAGATACAATAATTGTTGTTCAACTAATTATAAGTGATTTTTTATAAATAAAACATAATTTGGTGATTTTATGAACAACGAATTATATAATAGTTTTGACATTAAACATTTTTTTCTATTTCTCCAGCTAATTTTAGTTTGTGCAAGTAATCTTTAGGCATGATGATCACTGAGATCTAAAAAAATGTATAAATGGACATTAAATGTGAGGCCTAATTAATAATTAAGCTACACAAGGGGAAACAAAACAATTTACTCTGACAGGCAATATTACCTATCACCCAGATCACCTTGTCCTGTCAGAAGAACCTTCATCCCAGTGACTTTATTTCAAATGTATTGCTTTTGCAATAACAGCAGGGATTTCTGGGCTTCTCAGCAACTCTTGTTTACCATCTAGTGTCATGCTTAATGATCAACATTAAAGTTATTGCTTCCAAACCACCTTAATTAGGGTTGCAAATCTTTAAAAAGTTTCTTTCAAAAGCTCAGATCATCAAATTAGATTGCCCTCATGTATTCTGATTATATAATGAGGTCCTTGTAGTGAAACATCATAATCACATTACTAATCAGATATCCTGCAGTTCCTTTGTAAGGTAAATTTCCCTACTCACAGTATTTCCTGTGAGTGCATTGAGTCCTCCGCTCTCTAGGTCATAGTTGATTGAACCAGACCCAAGTAAGTAATGCAGAGCCTATGTGTATGGAATGACCTGCCACATGATGCTGTGCTCAAACCAAGATAATCTCGTATAATAAGATTTTCTTTTCAACTCTCTTAATTAGGGATTAGAGAGTGTTGTTTGGTATAAGTGGTCCTACAATTGTTTTTTAAAGTAAATGCCTTATTAATGTAAAACATACACAAAATCACATGAATTATGTACACAGCTTGATAAAGTTACACAAAGTGACTCAACCATAAAACTTATGAAATGGAATATTTTCCACACCTAAGAAGTTTCCTTGTGCTATTTCCTGGTCACTAACAACTCAGCAAGGTAATCATTATGCCAACTTATAATACTGTAAATTGCTAAAAATTATTTTTGTTTCTAAAATTATCCTTTAAAAATATAATTACATATTATTTGTTTATTTGAATCTGACTTGTTTTGCTTAAAATGTTTATATGATG